GCACGCACGCACGCACGCACGCACGCACGCGCGCATGCATGGGTGTATATGAATATACGTATGTTTTATTTTAATTGCCCCAGGCAAATATCTCGAAAAATATACAAAATACGAAAATCAGACAAAAGTTATATATGGTTTCGAGGGGAATATAAAAGGATGCCATTAATTTGATCTTGAAAAAATTGTTTGAAAGTCACATAGAGGTCACTTTTAATTTCTTAAATGGAACTCCTTAAATTTTATTGCGTATTGTATCTTTATTCAAAAGATTTCCAATGCTCTATAATGAAGTTTATTTTCATTAAGTAGTTTTCGAATTATTGAAAGTTACGGTATTTTGATATAAACTACAAAATGTCCTGTAAAATATTCTGTTTTCGATAATTTCACCTTAATACTTTTATGTACAAAATAATGAGATGAATCAATTGATGTAAAAAACACAAGTTGTTTGCAAAAAAAAAAACATGTATGTGTAACATATGTGCCGCATATTTTTTTCAAAGCAACTTGACTTTTTTTACATCAATTAATTTATTATTTTATAAATGTATAATTAAATGCATAAAAGTATTAAGGTAAGATTAGAAAACTGAATATTTTACAAGATAATTTTGTATTTTATATTAAAAGACTGTAACTTTTAATATTTAAACTTAAAAAGTACTTAATGAAAATAAACTATATTGTTTTGTAAAGCTGTTGAATAAAGCTATAAGAATACGCAATAAAATTTAGGCGGTTCCATTTAAGAATTTAAAAGTGACTTCTATGTGATCTGCAAATAATTATTCACGGTCAAATTAATGGCACCGTCTTATGTCCCCCTCGAAATCATACAACTTTTGTCTGAATTATTTTTTAATATTTTCCATATTTTTCGAGATATCTGGGACAAGTAAAATGAGACACATAGTATATTTTATATATATGTGCGCGTGCGTGCGCGTGTGTATATATACTTTATAATATTCGCAGATTTACTAAGTTAAAATGACATCAATGTTTGACCAGTATGAGCAAGCTTCACAACGTTCCAAGCAGGTACTAGCACCACCAATTCGTCCAGATATTGTAAGTCTGTTATCGCGAAATAATTAATAAATTATATAAACAGTACTACAATCACAATACTGTTTTCAGAGCACAGCTGGTTTTATCCAAATGAAATTACAAGATGATGGACCAATATTCACTAAACAGAAAGTCAATTTTCTACCATCGGATAAGATTCTTCACTTAGTCGTTAGCAGTAACATAATTGTGATTGCTATGGCTAACAACATCCTGTTACGCATCGATATGAAACAGCCTGACAAGACTGAAGGTAGGTCATTATATTTTAATATCTTTATATTATTAATATTAATATAATTTTTAATTAATATAATGTAATTTTAAATATATATTATTATTAATATAAATATTATTAACATGATTTATAAATATTTATTATTTATATTAATATAAATATCAATTTTTATATCAATGAATTAACTGTACGTATGTAAGCTAAGCAATATTTGCAACAAAATGTATTACATATTATACTTATTATTAAAATAATGCAAGCTGTTAGTTTATATATGTTAATATGTTTGGTTTGAAAAGTACTTTTTTATCGATAAATTATATGTATTAATAAATTGCATAAACTTTAAGAAAAATTCTATAAATATAAATTTTATGTTGCATTGTATTTTTGTATCAAGTATAAATTAGAGTGAAGTAGAATAGGCCCTTAAAAGCCTAATAATAAAAGTAGAAGCAGAAAGAGGAGAAGTATAAATTAGATGACACGTATATCGCAAAATTATTTGAAATTCTTAATTAATGGAATAATAAGTTTTTATTTGCAGAAATTGACATATCTAAATATGCACTGAGCATGAAAATGTCTGGTTTATTTCTGGATCCATTGGGTCATCATCTGCTGATAATTTTGATGCCAAGACATGGGGACAACCCACCTCCGGAATTGTTTTACTTGCACAGAAAAACAACAAAGCTCAGACAGGCTAGTAAGTTCAAAGGCCATGAGATCACCGCAGTGGGCTGGAATTTCTCGAACGTTTCGGAAACCTGTTCCGGTCCTATTCTGCTGGGTACTTCCAAGGGTTTAATTTTTGAAACAGAAATTGGATTGGAGACCGACAAGATTTTTAATATGAATTTGGAGCAATATTGGCGTCAGGTATTAAGATATTATACACTGATAGAGTCATCATTTCATTTATCCGTCTGTAATATCCTCTTTCACCACTACACTATTCATTTTTGATAAAGCTTCCGAATTATCTGCCTCTTTATGGTACAAAAGAGGCAGGAGGATTGGTGAGTTTATGCATTTCTTTTATTCTTTTTTTTTTATATTTATATTATATACATTTCGATTTAAATATAGTTATACAGAGCCAAGTATTTAAAATAAAACACTTAAATATCTTTGTTGTGTATATATGAAAAAATAATAGCAAAATTGTTCAGTTTGATGGAGGAAATATAATGAAAGGATAATTTTTTTCAGTCACTGTTGATTTTTTAATATCATTCGTGTTTTATTATAATATCTTATAAATTATTTATTTTTTGTCATATTTATATGCATAGTGAAAAAAAAATTCAACTCAGTTTAAAAAATCAGAATAATATTAAGAAATTGAAAACGATGACTTTAAGAAAACTTATTTTCTACTATGATATTTCTCTTTTTAAATTAAACTTTCATTAATGTAATTTTTTTCTATATTTTAATGCATCAAAGATATTTTTAAGTGTTTTAAGTATATCATCTCTTGTAAACACACAGATAGTGTCTATGTATCAAATACATTCATATACTTATATAAATATAATTTTAAATTTAAATAAGTAATTAGAAAATATTTTTTATCGTATTATCCCTTTTACATTAGCTATAAAAAAGCAATGAGCATGATTTTTTAACAAAAGTAAAAATTAATGTGAAATTTATGCAATAATCTTATATAATCAAAATTGAAAAGATAAGACTAACATTTTCTAATTATTTATTTTAAGCATCATTTATATATTATTTAAATTTTCTATTTGAGATAACAAAAAATTTTTATGCTATAAATGTGATTTTAGGTGTTTGACATAGGAAAGAATAGCAAGCCTCCAATTACTGGAATAGAATTTCATAAAATTCCTAATTCAGATAAATATATGATCATTGTGACCACTCTTATGCGTATCTATCAATATATTGGTACCATTGGCAATCCCGAAGAGAAACCTCTTCTGCAACAAGTATTCTATAAATATCTGAATGCACAAGGTAAACAAATACACAAAAAAAT